CTCAGTGCTAACACATTTTTCTTGAACTCTTTCACACCTTTCTTTCCCAGCTTTTTATTCCCCTTTCTTCTATGCCCAGAGGGCTCATTTCATGCTTTTTTTGCTGGCACAGACTCATGGTCCATCACACTGGGTTTCATGCAGGCATTTTGTACATCTATGTGGCGTATTTTTACCCTATTCCCTTCATACCTGCTCACTCCCCTTTTCTCACCCTCCCAACGTTGTACTCCTCCTAATTCAACTACTGAACCTTGTGAACTAGTCTTTAGATTGTAATCGTGTCTCTGACCTGTTTTCCAATTTCTTTGCCCCTCTGCTAAACTTTCTAGGTTTCAGATCAGGATCCTACACCTTTCTCTTAAATTTTCTCAGCTTCTGTTACTGTTTTACAAGGATTTGTTCCCTGCTTACTACCTTTTAGTGGCATGTTGCTTATATGCTTATCTTGGATGCTATCGGGTCAACTCCGTCCTCATTTAATATGCTGTGTTGGCTCTGGTTCCCACTTTCCCCACCACCCTTCCCAGGGCCCGATGATTGGACTGTTCACGCTTGTATCCCCATTGATCTCTGTGCACATAGGGAGGTTTGCCACTGTGGGCTTCACTCGGCAGGACTTAGTTGAGGCATTCCTTCCGGTGAGCCTCCACTGCCAATCTCTTCAGATGTTCTCTTGCCTTGGATTCCCACCCCCACCACATTTATTCCACCCCACCACACTCATCACACCCCCACCACACTCATCACACCCCACCACACTCATCACACCCCCACCACACTCATCACACCCCCACCACACTTATCACACCACCACACTCATCACACCCCACCACACTCATCACACCCCCACCACACTTATCACACCCCCACCACACTTATCACACCCCCACCACACTTATCACACCCCCACCACACTCATCACACCCCACCACACTCATCACACCACAATTATCGCACCCCCATCCCCACCACCACACTAACAGCTGCACAAATTTCCATTTCCCCCACATCCATGACCCTGTGCCTCAACGACAGGAAATAAATCACAGAAAGGTATGGGAGGATGTTGGGGCCAGAATACCTGGATGCCTCCACTCGGCTCAGCCAACGGCTTTTCCAGCTGGTGATCTTGCAAGTGACGTCATTGGCAAAACAGGACCAGTCACAGTGCCACCATCCCTTCTGGGAGTTGAAGAGCACTTTGACGAGGAGCTGGCATCTGGGGAGTGCGTATAAGCCTCAAGTTCTAGTTCTCTACACGTCCGCCTTCCCCAGGACATTCTCCAGCTCCCGGAGAGGAATCTCCCCTCGTTTGTGGTGTCTATGATGACAGCTGCTGGACACTGGGGACAATGTAAAAAAAACCTGACAAATGGAAAGACCACCGGCCGCTGACTCAAGTATAATGTGACAGATGCTACGCTAGAGACAGAATCAAGTACAGAGAACACAGGGCTGATCAGAACTAATGGTCCAGAACCAACTGGGACAGCTTCCTGAACCCGAAACATGGAAGGCCCTTGCCCAAACAAACAAACAAACAAACAAACAAACAAAAAACCATATAAGGGCAAGCAGCTGAGTGGGTAACAGCCTTGGGGAGGCTGTCAATGAGGCTGGGCCTCGCACAGCCTGCTTGAACTCTATACTTTGCTGTGTGACCAGTATATACCGAATTGAACAACCCAGCACGCTAGGTGTACTAGATTATGGGGCACCAAAGCATTTTTACTAAAAATAGCTGCAGTGTGGCTACTTGACATTTTAAAAACAAGTAAGAATACATTTCCAGCAGTGGGCAAAAGGTAGGGGAAACAAAATGCCTTTTTGTTCTGCATGGTCAGAGAATGATCTATAAAAGCCATGTTTTTAGTTTTGAATGTGTTTGTTAAATACATAGCACACATAAGAGTAAACAGTGAGCAGCAGATAGAGAGACACAGCAGATACTCAGCAAAGCATCATTCAGACAATCAAAACACCCAGCAGAACATCAACCACTGGAATTATCCAACCGAGTGCAAACAAAAGTAATGCCATCAAGTCGGGGCCTATCAATGTCCAGGAGAAACCATCTGGGGAAAGTGAGCATGAGCTGGAGTTCCCCATTTACTGAGAGTCCAGGCAGAATGCCGCCTCCAGTGACGCTTCCAAACGAAAGAATAAATACCAGCAGTACAGATAGCATCAGCAAATCTGGGTCTCTAAGCACCCAGCAGAGGCTAGGGAAGCTGGGGCAGTCAGCTGGAGATCCCCCCCGGGCCTCCACTCCATGGCCCTGCAGGCACTTTTATAGCACGGGATAAACAACAGTAATCACTGTCTGCACTCTTGGGCTGTGTGGCCCTCCCTGACAGAGTTAGAGGGACCAGGGCATCTTCAGACAAGCGACATTTTGAGATACACACGCGTGGGTTTGGGGAAGGAGGTGGCAGACTTCTCAATGCGTTCATATACTTGCCTGACAGGAAATACATTTACCTACTGAGCCAGCCTCTAACACCATATATACTATAAAAAACCATTACAGGACAAGAACTCACATGGTGTGAGGTGTAAGCAACCTGGGTGGATGTGTGTAGATAAATGACAGGGGCATGATGCAGTATAATAAGAGAATATCCATGGATTTTGGCTTCGTGGTTGGGGGGGGGGGCAACACGGGGTCCTGGAAGTCACGACTTTGAATACCAAGCGATAATCACATATATAAATGCATGAAGATGTGAATAAGTGTTGTTCCTGCCCCAATACTTTTCTTAAACAAATGGAGACCCAGTATATTCCTTTCTGGTTTTTGCTGGAGAAGTTTCATATCTCCAACAACACAGATGCAATGTACTTTTACAGGGGTGTTGTAGTCAACATCCAGCCTTGTCTTTTACAATGTATAATCTTTGATTACATAGTCTTCCGTCTGCTAATTCTTTGATCTGACTAACTATGAAAGAGGCTGAGGCTTAGTGGACCAGGACCCAGCTCCTGGGGAGACCCTCTTGCACACAGGACTGTGAGAACAAACAAATAGCAGATCTAAGAGTAAGCGGGAACAGAGATAAAGCCCAGCAATTGCAAGGCCTTGAACTACAACAAATCATTGAAATTGTTAAAAAGACAGGCGGCATTGTGGTAGGCGCTGCCAATCATATTCTTGCCAACAACGTCTCACTAAACTTGCTGACATTTGCATGTCTATTTGACGACCATCTTACTGGTTCTTTAAAGTTAACATTTCTACCTGAATAAGTATCAACTGTTTTGATTACTACAGGCAATCAAATATTTGCATCTTGTGTGTGGCACATGAGTATATAGGTGTTTACCTATGCACCTGTTATGTGGACAGGGCAGGACATCTGGCATGTTTGTCCAGCACTCCGAGCTTTTCTGCCTTGACATACGGTTTCTTCCTAAACTGGAAACTGACTTAATGGCCAGGCAAACAACTAACAAGGGTAAGTGTTCGATGTCAAGAATCAGGACACTGCAAATCAAAACTACAGTGAGATGATGCTACTCCAACTGGGAAGCTACGTTCGAAACAAGACAAAAATAACCAAAGTAACAAACAGGGCACAGGATGCAGAGATGGAGGTGGCATTGAGGGTAGGATGTGTAGTGGTAAAGTCCTGGGGACTCCCAAACTGAAAAGAAAATGGCCATACACTCCAGCAACCTCATTTACTGAGTAAACACCCAAGAGAAACTGGTAACATTCTGAGGAGCTAGACATGTTAATTACCCCAATCTGGTCATTGCATATTAGATACACATAGTAAAATAATACTAGAACCACAAGTACAAATATTATGTCAATTTTATTGTGAGGCATGGCCTAACTTTCAGCCCAGGATGGCCTTGAATTTACCATCTTCTGTCTCCATCTTCCAAGTGTGAGACTATAGGCATCCACAATCTTGTCCACTACTTTTTTTTTTTTTTTTTAAAGAATCATGTTCCTAGAGTAAGTAAAGTAGATGGAGCTAGTTATTTCTCAAGTATTTCTGATATGGGCATGAGGACACACACCTCTAATGCCAGTTTTACTGATATTTCATTTGCATTTTAATAAACAAAGCTTGCTTGAAGACCAGAGAGTAAAACAGCTGCACTGTGGCCATACAGACCAGGCAGTGGTGGCCCACACCTTTAATCCCAGTAGCCACACTAGTTTGCCATAGAGACTGGGTGGTGGCAGTACACATCTTTAATCCCAGTACTATAGAGGAATATAAGATGTAAAGAGAGAGGTTTCAGGCTCAGTCTTATTCTGAGGATTCCTGGACGCAGAGTTTCAAACTGAGGTAGAGGTAAGAGCCAGTGGATGGCTGGTTTGCTCTTCTGGTCTTCAGGATGAACCCTAATGTCTGTGTCTGAGTTTTTATTAACTGTGCCCTGGGGAGGCCAAGGCAGAAGGAGGGTAAGCTCAGGGCCACCCTGGGCTACATAGCAAGTTCAGGGCCAGCCTGGGATACACATAAAGACCCTGACTTGCAAAGTTTTTCTCTTAGCCATTGCTGTATGTAAACACTTCAGAGAAATAAAATTGAACTGGGCTAATGTCTCCCCCAAATTCATATCCATCTGGAATCCATGAATGTGGCCTTACTGGGATGTAAGATCTTTGCAGGTGTAAAGATGAGGTCATATAGGATTCAGACATGGAATGGATAGACACGCACACAGGGACTATGCCACATGAAGCGCTGGCTGGAGAGACACAGTTACAAGGGACATTCAGTACTGTGGTGACCAGCAGCAACAGCAGGGAAGACATCCGGCACCACTGACATCTCGGTTTAGGCTTCTGGCATCTAGAGCTAAGAGGGTACAGCTCACTTGTTTTAGGCTACAAATACGCAGTCACCTGTCACGGCCATTCCTGTGTAGTCTGAACTAGCAGGCTTTCAGTTGTTGCCCAGCTGCACCACGTGACCTGTCATGGAATGGACCTTTCTTGGGCTGCTCCGTAAAGCAGAGACTCAGGAAACCATTCCTGCAGCTTTGGTTTGGTTTATTTAGCTCAGATATGCAGTTTTTATAAAGAAAGCAAACCCGAGGACCAACTGCCACCGTCACCCAGTGCTGACGCTTTATCACACTTCGTCTCCACCCCTTTCAACAACTTCAGGAGCGCAGCTGGATTGTAAGGAAAGAGATTTTTCTCCTGCAAACGGTAAATAGCACCCTGTAGCTCCACCAGGCATCTCACTGTTCTAGAAAACAGTCCCACTTCCCAGACAGCCCCATTGGGAGCAACTTCCCCAGCAGCACAGAAGGGAGGACAGGACTCTTGGGGAAGCAGAGGCCTCAGCTGAGGCTCCAGGCTAAGCTCTTTTTGGTCCTTACATGTCCTAGGCAGGCCTTGAGTTTCTCTGCTCATTTCTGGACATAAAGAAGTCTGTTTGTTGTTTGCTAAATGCTGATTTGTGGCTTCCTCATCAGAATCTTCCGAGCTGTCGTAATCTACCAGACTCCGTGGTGTCTGGGAAGATGGGCCATGAGCTGGCACTGTGTGAGTTTCCTTGGGCATCACCACCTGACTCTGAGGCTCAGAGCGGGTATCAAAAGCCCATGGGACCCATGGGCAAGCATTGCTGTGGCCAACAGGAGAAGCCAGAGCATGAGGTCCTGTGTGGCTGGTGCTTCTGTTGTGGACAAGTGGGGGGACAGGATCCCGAGGATTTGCTCCACATTGTGATTCAGCTTCATCAAAGAACTTGCAGATGGACAGAAAGTGATGCCAGTCTTTCTGCAGCAATTTCAAATATTTAACAAAATATTCAAGGAAACAGGTTTCGGAGGAAATCAAGAAGTCAAGAAGAACTGTAGAGTCGAACACTATGTTCTTTAATAAGAATAAGAAAATACAGTGTGGATTACAGCCATTTCTATGAGTGCAGTGGATCCATGCTTCATTTTCTTGAGTCAGGCTTCCAGAGATGTCATCCTTGTCTCTGCAAACACAGACAAGGGAGAGCTCAGGGTGACGGGGCTTCGCAGACACACTAGCACTCACTTGCCAATCACTTCAAAAGAAAATCAAAACCAAATCTGCTCATGACCAACCAGTTTCAGATTTTGTCTGCACAAGTCTCTGTCCTTTCCTTAACATCAGCAGGCCCTCTTCATGAGGGCAACTTACTCCATGTTTAAGGTGGCGCTCAAGACCACCACAGCAGGGTAGACATGTGACCCCAACTGACCAATTAGAACACGGCTTCACAATCCAAGAGATCTCTTCTCTGAAATATCTCTATGGCTAAGCAAAATTACGACTTAAGATTGATGAAAAGGAAGGGTGAAGCTTCTGTGTTCTCGTGGCCAGGCCGGAGAAGGAATCAGGCTGTGAGATCAAAAGTAGGGGAAATAACGGCTGGCATGATTTGAATACATGGAATACACACACACACACACACACACACACACACAGAGAGAGAGAGAGAGAGAGAGAGAGAGAGAGAGAGGAAGATACACAGACACACAAACACAGAAAGGCACAGACAAACAGAAACACAAACGCACGCACACACACATACACACACACACAGTGCTATATCTGATGTCAGTTTGATGCCCTTGAAATTCTCAACTGGATGGGTGGTGGCGCACACCTTTAATCCCAGCACTCAGGAGGCAGAGGCTGGTGGATCTCTTGAGTTCACGGTCAGCCTGGACTACAGAGTAAATTCCAGGACAGCCAGGGACATACAAAGAAACCCTGTCTTACAAAACAAAACAACAAAAAACTCTCAACCAGGTCTCAAAACATTCTATTTTTGCTTAAACCAGTTTGAACTGGTTCCTGTTATTTATAAACAAGAAAACCTTAACAGGATGGTCTCTTTTTTTTCTTTTTCTTTTTTTTTTTTTTTTTTTGTACTCGTGGTACAAAAATCTACCTCTCTGGACACAGACACCTGAAGGCAGTGAGGCTCACGTAGAACAGGCAGGCATAAGAAGGCAGTGCTGAGTGAAATCAATACATACTCTTGAATATGTAGTCTAAACCTGTAGAAAACCTTCACTATCTTTGAGCCTAACTGAAATCACATGCAGGAATTCTGGTTCTCAAGTAGAACCTTTTGAAAACTGGCCCCAAATACTCAGTCATTGCCAGCTGGGTCCTAATGTAGCAAGCACAAGACTGAGGCTGCGCCGCCAGTCATCAGTGAGACAGCCCTTCTCCTAGGCCAGGGGACAGGGAAATGAAGCCGAGCAGACAGCAGGGAAGGGTCACTGGCTGTCAGCTTCAGAAGTCATTCCAGACACTGCTGCAGGTGTAAAGCAGAAGCAGAACTGGGGCAGCAGCGTCCCAGCAACGCACCTCCAGAGGGAGCAGCCTGGAGGAGTGGAGCTGGAAGTGCAAGTCTGGAGAGGCTCCGCTGGCTATTTCCATTTGTGTTCTCTTTGACAAAGGCGAAGGTCACCAGCTAGAAACTTAATTCAAACAAGCAAGTCTTGGAGGCATTAAGAACACGGTTCTTGACCAGCAGCTGTGGTTCAGAGAGGGCACTGGCTTACCTTGACCCCCATAGGCAGCACACCAGAACCCAAGGGTTCTGATCTTGCTTTATTATCCCTGTGCTGCTCAGTCAGCCAGCTTCTAAGGACAATACACATAGCATCCATTTTCATGTAAGGTGGAGTAATAACGGGAGGAAACCATCTATCCAAGTAGAAAACAAAAATAATGCACCAGGCAGAAACACATTTTCTGATGTGCATGTCTCCTGATTCTCTGGCTTGTAGGCAGTCCAAAGTACTTGAAATACACAAACCTGGTGACCTGGAGGTAGATGCTTAGGGATGCTTTGGCAGCCTCCAGCATGTCATCGTCCTGCTCTATGAAGACCCTGGACAGCCATTCACACGGGTTGTGTAATTGTAGAGAGGGCTGAAGGTGAGGCTTTAAGAAGGTCAGTAACTCGGACATGAACTTCTGCAAGTCAACTTCAAACAACAGCAATTTCAAAGGGCAGGTAATGTTTACAAACACAAATAGCATGTTTTTTGTATGCAAATTTGTTAGTGCATTATCCACACTTTTGGGTCCTAGAGTCGGGATTAGCTTTTTCCCAAGTGAAGAACTGAGAATAGCAAGGTGACTCATGTAGGAACACTTGTTCAAGACATATAGTCAGGGTGTCCATCTGCCAAAAAACTAGTCACAGTTTCTCTAAGAAATAAGTATGTGATTTCAATATGAAAGCATGTTAATTGAGTGGACAACAACAATCTCTTTATTGGCAAGCACAGCTTTCTGCTAACTATAGACCACTAAGACATAAAAAGAAATGGCTTCAAACACAACAAAAAAATCTTTCTTTTGCTTGTTAAAGAACCAAAATACTGCAAAAACCCAGACAGGTCCTGGGAGTTTAACTGCAATGCAAACCTGAGTTATGTAACAGATGCCACCTAGTGTTATAAACTATAATTGCGCTAATGAGAACATTCCTAAAAATGATGTTTAGGAGAGTCCCAGCAGTCAAGGCAGCTAGCTGGAGACAGCCACTGCCTGCTCCCCTCTAGAGAAACTGAAGACAGATCCTCTCCATCACCCACTCTGAGAGCTGCTCCTCCAGTCACGCTGAACTTGTCACCCTCAACTTATGTGCTACAAGTCCTTTATCAACAGAACTTTCCGTGCTAGCTTCAACAACACTTCTAATCATCACTAATGAACAGTCATAGAGCTTTTATGAATAATATAATTAAATATCAACTGACTTCTATTTGCTTGGTAGTGACTCAAAAGCAACTATTTTTGTATTCATTATCCTATGCATATTAATTATACAAAAAAAACCAAGAAGCTTCTTAAAATTCCAGTCCCCCACAACCCTGCTCCCTTTGAAAAAGTATTTACTAAATTTAATGAGGAAAATATAAATAGATTGAGGAAATGGCACTAGCCTTAATACTCAATAATCATGAGTCACTTTTCTTAAGGGAACAATTAATTGCATAGTGCTTTGAATGAAAAATGAGTCTGGAGAATTACCTTTCATTTCAGTTGCTGAAGTACAATTCTGGAACTTGATTTCCAAGGATTTCAAAGTAATTAAGCTTGCTGCTCTCAGGGTGACGTGATCAGGGCCAGACCTGGGTCGGCATCCAGGTTGAACTTCGTCCCCTCCAAAGCAGCAAGGCTTTCCAGGAACAGACAACTCCTTCCACAACCCCAGATGTACCCTGTGCAGAAGTGCCTCAGCTAAGGCCAGCACATCACTGTCCAGAAGATAGTCTGGTAACACCAGGGCAGGCACCGATCCACGGCAGAGGTCCTCGCCCATTTTACCTAGAAGGCACTTTTTGATGACTATAACCAGCTTCCTCTTAACAAAAGCTGGAACAGGCCAGGCAAGAATATCTAGAACACGGGGTTTCAAAAACAGTATCTTTTGGCTTCGAAAGTCCAATTTCAGGTGAACTCTGGAGGCGGAGAGAAGCTCCAGCAGCTCCAGGGAGCACACCAGGATGTTGACTACGTTAGAGAGATTCTGGAAGTTTCCAAAATGCTGAGAAAATAAGGAATTGTAGAACACTTCAAAAGTAATGTCAAAAGGAGCCAAGAGCTGCTTTAGGATTTCTGAAATTAGAAAAATAGTAGTTAGAAGAAACAGGAAACACAAAAGTTTTCTCTAAACACAATTTTACAATCCAATTGGCATGTACATCACTTTGTAAGATAAAAATAGGTTTAAGAACAATTACTTCTAGTAAGACCACATGAGGGTACACAGATTAACAGTTAATCACAAAAAGTTAACGTTTGCTTTATAAATATGGATAGTATTAGACTATATAAGAAATATTAAATGACTAAGTTTTAATTTCTTTCTAAAAAGGAAAATCTTCAGTGTTGGGGAGATAGTTTATTTGGTAAAGCGCTTGCTACATAAGCACGAGGTCCTTGATTAGGATCCCTGGCACCCATGCAGAAGCCAGACAAGGTGGAACACATCTGTAACCACATCTGGGGAGGTGGAGATGGAGCTCATTGGCCAGGCAGCCTTGTCTAGTTGATGAGCTTTAAATTCAGTGAGGGATCTTATCTCAGCAAACAAGGTGGAAAGCAGTGAGGAAGACACTTGACATTGACTTCTGCCCCCCCCACGTCCACACACTAAATACGTACACCACACACACACCAAGGTTATGTCCAATTAAAAAATTCAGGGGAGCAATTCTCGCATTCTTCCATACTTCCAGAGAGAAGAGGAATAACATACATTTTATTCTTCACTTTAAACACACTGCTGCCGAGAGAGGTGTTGAGCATTAGAACAGTGCCATCTCTACCTGCTTGCTGGGACTGTGCATCTTTAAAGACTTCTTTTATTACAACTGTGAGAATCCAAAGGCAGTGCACTGCTTCTCCACTCTCAGAGGATTCAGAGAGATGTTTCTGGCAAAACGTGACCCAGGAATTACTTAACATCATCTGCAAATGAGAAAACAAACGGGTTGTTATAATTGTTTTGCTTATAAAATTAAAAATTACTTATTACACAACATAATACTACAAAATGTTTACTTGTTTATGTGAAAAAAGCATGAAAATATTTGACAAAACAAGGAAAAATATTCCAATATTCTTTCAGGCAGGAAAATAACACATCATGTAAGTGAAGGATCAAAAAGACCATGAAAAGATCCACATTATTTATAAATGGTGTAGCAATGTGTACGCCTTTCTTTAACACTCTATCCTACTTTCCAAATATTCTACCATAAACAGTATTCACATTCAAAGTACTATTTTATTTTATTTTTAAATATTTATTTATTATGTATACAATATTCTGTCTGTGTGTATACCCGCAGGCCAGAAGAGGGCACCAGACCCCATTATGAGATGGTTGTGAGCCACCATGTGGTTGTTGGGAATTGAACTCAGGACCTTTGGAAGAACAGGCAATGCTCTTAACCTCTGAGCCATCTCTCCAGCCCCCTCAAAGTACTATTTTAAAAACAAGCAATCAGAATGTGAAGTTAATAGGTACTGAATCTGTGCACATTCACAAGCCCCTGTAATCACATGCGTGGAAGTGCACCAGGCAACCAGAGGCCGAAGCCAGGTGTCCTGCTCAATCACTTTTCTCCTTATTGAGACAGGATCTTATTTTATTCTTATTTTTTGTTGTGATCCAGCTGCTCTCACTCCCCCTGACTGACAGCAGAACTTCCTTGTGGTCTGTAATTGACAAGAATGTTTGTGCTCTTTCTGGCTGGAGGTTTTCCACAGAAGCAGTAGAGGTATAAAAGGCTTCAGGTCAGGGCAAAATAAAGGTTGCTGTTCTTCCACCTGAAAAGAAGCCTCTGTGTCTCAATCCTGGCACCCCTGCCAGTCTTGGCTATCCAGGCTGCGCTGGTGCGGCAAAGTGGAGGTCCCACTTTTCCGAGATCTGGAAAGTGGGGATTTGTAAATGGGGTCTTTCCGTCTGCTGGCTAAATCGAGGAGCATATTGGGGAAGGTAATGTTTTATTTTTCCATCCCCAGAGATACTCTGAGAGACACCCTCCAAAAGACTAGCAAGTATAAAGAGGCGTGAGGGTGAATTGAAGGCCTCAAAAAGTAACTGAAACTCTTAAAGCAACAAGGCACGGAAGTAACAAGGAAGACAGCCAAAGATTTTGTACAAACAATAGCTCAAGTTAGCCCCTGGTTTATTACAGGAGGGGGTTTAAATGTTAACAGGCCAAGTCAGAGTATTTGTTTCTTCATCCCCAGAGATGCTCTGAGGGATGCCCTCCAGCAGTAGGGAAGTAATAAAGAGAAGGCAGGAGGGTGAATTGAAGGCCTCAGAAAGACAGAATGTGTACAGATGTATGTTATTGTGTTGATTGTGTTGTCTTTTGTGTTCTGGACTGGAGAAAGACATTTGATTCTGGGAACTGCTAAGACTTTAAAATATGGTCCTAAGGATTTGATGCTTTGGAAAAGAGGTTCTGCTTTTGTCTCCACAGAGGATGAGAACCTGTAGATTCTTGCAAATTTATGTGGTTTGACTCACCAAGACCTCCTGAAATGTTGATGTAAAATAACCCCAAGAATGCAGGAACCCCGCTCAGCAGGAAGTAGCCAAACAGGTTGAGGATGTCCAAATTCCCTAAAAGATTGCTAAAGTGGGGCCGCTTCAATGGTTCCAGAGCAGCAAGCCTGCTTCCCTGAGTTCCACTCCACTCCATGCAGCAGTCTGGACCCAGAGAGAGTGTGTCTGGGGCCAGAAGGCAGCTGGAGCAGAGCTTTGTTAGGCATGTTGCCCTGGCCCAGTTGGTGCCCGGCCTGGGGGACACCACGGCAGTGTCAGGAGTATCAGCAAATATGGCAACAAGTACTGAACCATAAAAGATGGGCAGAAGAGAGACCTTGGAATCACTGCAGCTGTGACTGCTATTATTGCTATCTCTGCCACGGCAGATACTGCTGTTGGAGTTGCTCTTTCTCAGACTGTGCAGACAGCTGAGACTGTCAACCAGCTAGCTGAAAGAATCAGCAATGCTTTGGATATTGACCTTAAACCAACAAGTGGCTCTGGTTTAGGAGCAAGTGGACTATCCTTGGACTTTTCAATGGCTAGCTCTTATCATGTTATGTGTGTTACTCATGGCACTGTACTGCATGCTTCTGCTACTGTTATGGAACTCAACAGTCATATGAGAGGGATTTGGAATACTGCTTTTGTTAATTTTACCACCCAGTTAGTGCATGCTAGATGGTTGCAGTGCTGGTCTGACTTGTTGGCGCTGTCAGTCCTGGGGATACTTGGTTTAGGGCTATGTGTCTGGGTAACCATGGACGGGCAATACTTTGGGGGCAGGATGCCACCTAAGACAGGGAATATTAGAGGGCTATTCTCCATGACAGACAAGATATTCCACCCAAAGTAACAATAAAATAAAATGGGGGGAGTTGCCCTCATTCCCCCTGACTGACAGCAGAACTTCCTTGTGGTCTGTAATTGACAAGAATGTTTGTGTTCTTTCTGGCTGGAGGTTTTCCACAGAAGCAGTAGAGGTATAAAAGGCTTTAGGTCAGAGCAAATTAAAGGTTGCTGTTTTCCACCTGAAAAGAAGCCTCCGCGTCTCAATCCTGGCACCCCCTGCCCCAGGCCAGTCTTGGCTATCCAGGCTGCTCTGGTGCAGCAATTTTTGGATTTGCACATTATGGTGGGTGCAAATAGCTTACTAATTCGACTATTTGAAGGAGTAAAGTCAATGCTAATGAGCAACTTGAAAACTGTAAAAGAAATAAATATGCTCTGATTTATCTGACCTTCTCTCTTAGCTGGAAATAGAGGAGCGATGAGAGGCACTTCGCAGCCATGTGAGACAACAACTTATCCGAGTTCTGGAGCATGCACACCTGCAGCAAACAGGCACAGTTCATCACACTGCTGACACCTTAAAAGCCTAGACACAGCATCCAAATCACTGAAAACGTGGCGTACCAATTTGGAATCGACTCCAGCTGACTGCAAAAGGGCTTTAGTCAGCTCTCCGTACCCCTCCTTTGCATGGGCCTCAGTTTCAGTAGACAGCACTCGGCTCAGGAGCAGGTCAATCACTGTTAACTGCAGGAGTGCCACCTCCTGGGCCCTGCTCATCCGGAAGTGTCTCTGTGCACACTCCTGTGCTTCAGGAAGGGTGGTAGACTCACTGGAGGATGGTCCATGCTGGCCTGGCACACCATCAGGTGCACCATTAATATTTGACTGTGCTAAAGAAGGGGTTGTATAGCCAACTTGCTCTGAGAGGTTTGGGTTGAGATAAAAGATGTAACCATGGATGTCATCCTCAAGCGTGGCTCCAAGAAGTACTTTCTTATATAACTGGTCCAAAATTTCTTCGACATCTTCCATTTTGGTTTCCAAAATGTGTATGGTAAGAGGGTCAAAAGTTCCAAGGGGTAAATATTGAAGACTTAGAAATACAATGACTCTCTAAGATATCACCTCACTGAAGCCTGAAATAGAAACAGTAACATGATTGTAAGTATTAAGCTGTATTACAAGTGAAAGAAAGCTGTGTTCACTTAGTTTCAAGTTAGAGATAATGCTAGTTGCTGAGCTCTTCGGGTGAAAATTTTAATAACACTCTAAAATCGCAGTGATAAAATGCATGTTTTATATGCACATATAAGAGCATAAACCTATTTGCAATGTAGTGTTGTTTTGCTTTTGGTGTGTGTGTGTGTGTGTGTGTGTGTGTGAGTGTGTGTGCGAGTGTGTGAGTGTTTCTGAGAAGTGAACCCCAGATCTTGGGCATACTAGGCAAGCACTCAACCTCTGAGCTTCATCACCAGCCCTGTCTATCACTTGTTTTGAGATAGGGTCTGTAATCTGCCCACAGTAGTAGGCTCACCTTGATCTCACTCTGTGGCTTAGGGAGACCTTGAACTTGTGGTCCTCCCACCTTAGACAAGTGAGTCTCTAGGATCATGGGCTAGCATCACCAGGTCCAGCTAAAAACACCAGCTTTTTTCTAACAACTCTAGGTAGCTGCCTCATTTCTCACTCTTAGCACCACTGAAAGTGGAACCAGACTCCTCTGTATGGGGAGCAGCAAGCACACTTTAAGCAACCCCCACCCCATCCCCAACCTACCAAGCCCAAATCCCTACCCTCTCCCGGCCAAATGCTTCCAGCATCATCCAACAGATTCTGATGACCAGAAATGTCTGCAGACACTGTCAGATGCCCCAGTTCAAAACCACTGGGATAAATCAAAAAATTTAAACTTCACTCTGATTTATAGATTAAAACCTGAAGTTACATTGCTATATGGCTATTAACTATTAAATTCCAACTTAAAATTATATATCACATTACATAACAATGATATTAGGATCCTAAGTCATCTCCTCTGTAACTAAGTAAAAACATTTCTTTAAGTGCTGTCCCAAGAAAGTCAAGAAGGGAAGGAAAAGCAACCCAAACTGAGCAGACTGTACTTGTAATTGAACAGAAATGTATACATTCAGGTTGTTCTAGAATTCTCTCGCATGGTGGAGACCGGGGTGAGATACACATGACACATTTAGGAACAGACGTGGCTTTTAAAGCAGAAAATAGGGGCAGTCAGTCAATGTCAGAGGAAGCATGCTGTCACTGGTATAAGCAAAACAGAGGACTCGACCTTCTTCCAATGGAATGCTAGAGCCTCTGGGAATCTACCGGATTACCTTAGACCTCCTAAATATAGAGCTTAAAGCCACACTGACTCCTTATGTTTGGACAAGCAAAGAATCCTCTCCTACTGGGGAAAAAGGAGCTCTGTGCTTCTTTTTGTAAGCTCATTTGAATGCTCACATCCTCCATATAAATTCATAGTTCTCTTACATTAAATGGGCTGTGACAGCTGCCTGATTCCCTAATCAATTCCTAAGTTTTTTAAAACCACAACAATTTTACTCACATAGGCATTTTCCATGGATCCTGACTGTCCTTTGTAAAATTTTACTTTAATTTTATGCATATGGGTGCTTTGTCTGCATGTATGTCTAGGTACCATGTACATCACTGGTGCTCAGCGAGATCAGAAGAGAATGCCAGATCCCCTGGAAATGAAGTTACAAATGGACGTCAGCTGCTATGGTGGTTTGAATGAGGACGGAATCTAAAGACTCTTGCATGCTTGGTCAGCAGCTGGTGGAATTGTCTGGGAAGAATTAGGAGGCATGGACTTATTGGAAGTGGTGTGTCATTAGGGGTGATCTCTGAGGTTTCAAAGTCCACGCCGTTGTCAGTTAAAGCCATCCCCATGCTTGCAGATGGAATGTAAAGTCTTAGCCATTGCTTCAGCACCACGCTTGCTGCCATGCTCTTCATGACAGTCATGGTTCAACCCTTGGGAATCATGAGCACCCAAACTAAATGTTTGTTTACAAGTTGCCCTGGTCATGGTGTCTCTTCACGGCAACAGAAAAGTAACTAAGACACCTGCCACATGGATGCTGGAACTCAAACCCAGATCTTTTGGGTGAGCAGCTGGTGCTCTTTACCACTGAGCCATTTCTCCAGGCCCTGTTGAGCCACCTCTGCACCCCTTGACTTTGTCTTAGAAAAATATACTAGTTAACAAAACCCATGGACTCTCCTTCCCTACCTAACTCAGATCCAACTGCCCTGACACGCTGAACTTCCCTCCTCAGAGGAGAGCTTATGAGGGTGACCACTCAGACTGCGCCTCCCTTCTACAGCGTGGCCCATGCATAGGTCCTGACTTTCTCGTCTTTTATGAAATCTGACGTGTGGGTATTTTGCCTGCAGGCATGTCTCTGCAGCACATGATATTTTTGCTCTTTTGTTTTCTTTTCTTTCTAGCTGGCTTGATTGATTGTTCTGTAGCAGTCTCATTATGTGATCCTGGCTGGTGTGGAACTCGCTATGCAGCCCAGGCTAGTCTCACACTCAGAGAGACACGGCTGCCATTCCTCCGGAGAGCTGGCATTAGAGGTATGTGCCACCACACCCAGCTCAGCCTTTACCACTTATTCCTTCCCTTTAGCACTTATGGAATCTCAACCATGGCCACCTCACAGACAGTTTGGTTATAGAGAACCAAAATACAGCAGCTAAGTATTAACAAACCTATGGATTTCAAATGTATGAACAAAACTTGTGGTTAAGTCTTCTCTGAATGCTATTTTAAGATTTATTTATTTTATCTTTATTTATGTGCACGTTAGTGTCTGCATGTGGAAATTTGCACCACAGAAACAACAGGCTCTAGAAGAGGGCATCCGCCCCTCTGCAGTGTGGTTATGAGTGACCAGCATAGGGAGCGGGAACTGAACTCGGGTCTACTGCAAGAGCAGCAAGCGTTCTTCACTCCCGAGGCGCCTTCCCAGCCTCTGAACACTACCTGCAAGCTGTAAGGTGCATTTCATACAACTCAATAATCCAGACTTCCCTAGCTCCCTTCCATTTGACAGTTCTGAGCTTTCCTGTACTCACACAAGCAGCAAAGGTGAAGAAGTTCTGTAACTTCTGTATGTAACACATAGCTAGCCAGAAAATAGCTGGGATGACAGGGTCTTATCATCCCTTCTTTCTATGGCCATCCCTATTGAGAGGTTTTCCATTAGAGAACTCTCCCAATTGCAATGGCCAGAATAAAATCAGCTATTGGCATAGTTTCCCAGTTACATGTCAGGAATTGACTTTCATATTCTACTTTAAAGTTGAAATCCCTTTTTAGAACCAGTTTCCTTTCTTAGTAGTACTAATACTTAGAATATTTAAGGCTTTAGTTATTATCGTACGCTCATCTCTTGCCACTAAAAACCTCAGCAACGAATGTATTTTCATTCCAATTATTTATAGCAATAAAAATACTTAAAACAATATTTCTGTTACCTCAGATTTACTAAGCAAGAGTAAAACCCCAACTTGGTCATTCTTCACTGCCATCACCTCACACCAGGGTGAAGTCAATGCCAGTGAATAACAGTATAGGGGGTGGCACAGCCTGTTTCCTGGCGTGGTAAGACCCAGGTTCCTTGGCAGGAATGGATCCAGAAATAAGATTAAAAGTTTGTTAATTTTAAATTAAGAAATACATACTCAGGGATAGTTATATAGTTATATGGCTATAGATAGTCTGGAGAGTAAAGAAACAGTCTTAGTTACTTTTTCTATTGCTGTGATAACACACCATGATGAAGACTTACGAAAGACTTCATTGGGTTTACAGTTCCAGAAGGATAACAGCCCTTCATGGCAAGAAAGCTTGGCAGCAAGCAGCAGACATGACAGCTGGAGCAGAAGGGCTCACATCTTGAACCCCAAGCAGGAAGCACAAAGAGCAAACTCAAAACAGTACGAGTCTTTAAACTGTTAGAGCTTGCTCCCAGTGACATACTTCCTTCAACAAAGCTATACCTCCTAAACCTACCTAAACTGCGGACCAAGTATCGGAGCATCTGATTGAATGGTGGACTCAACTCATCCAAAGCACCCCTGGTGTCTGCTACAGGTGCCTACTGCCAAGCCTTAAGGTAGAAGTCAGTGCCTGGGTCCCACAGGAGAGAACTGACCTCCACAAGCTGTTCTCTGACATCAATGTATGCATGCTTACACAAATAAATACTACAGTACTAATGCATACCTGGTTGGGAAATGAAGCTCGGGAGTAGGGCATTTACTACATATTGGGTGAGGTCCTGGGTTCAATCCTCAGCACATAATAATAAATATTATAAATTTTTATAGTTTTTATTTGTAATTTTACTTACAAATAAAAATATAAGTATTTATAAAAAATATTCAGATGGGTTTTTTACAGATGAAAATAACAAAACACAGACACCAAATACTCAGGGGACAGGCAGGAAACAACCGGCTGAGAACAGTTAAGAGCTGGGATGCTTCAACTGGGACTGGCACAAACCTTCAACTGCACTTTTCATTCACAGTAATCAAATACACACATGCTCCACAATAAATGTCTGCAGGCTGCCTGTTAAACTTCACCCCAGAAAAAAATGTATTAAAGGAAAATCTGAAAAAGCAGACTAAGGGATCAACTGGTTGTACTATGTCCCTCAAGTGATTGCTCATGGGCTGGTTCACTGCAAACTGAAATGCCATGCTGGCCTGGAAAGACATGTGCCATTGAGAACCATGTCTGTTAAAATGTGGCCACAGCTGGCTGTCTAGTATGAGGCCCTCTGTATGTGGTGATGCTTTGAAACACCTATACAGGGTCTAAAAGTGAAGCCACTACCATGGAAAAGAAATATTTTGAGATGTTTAAATAGGACATGATCATAAAGAAATTATTCCTTAGATGATGTTGACTGACAACTGTTAAATTTTTCTGATGTTAAAAAAATATCCTTTTAGAAAAAGATGTAATAAAAAATCTTTGGGATCAAAGACCTTGGCCTCTTCCAAAAGTAGGGTACATAAAACAAAAATTGACATGCTAGACTCCAACAAAATGAAAACATTTGCTCTCTAA